AGTATTAACTTGTTGTTTTTAATGAAAAGAGTATATTATAAACATACTTATGATCTGGTTTTGGTAAAAACAATTAAGGGGATATATATATATATATATATATTTGAATGTTTTATTCCAATAAATAATATTGTAATGTATAGATTCTAAATATATAAATATCACAGAAACATAAACAATATATAGTATATACTACTGTGTTGTATTACATATGTACGACATGCTTATACATAACGTATACTATATAGAGAGGAGTTCTACATTAGACTGCATACTCTAACTCTAGCCATTAATTTAGAATGAAAATAAACTTACTTTCTTTTATACCAAAAAGTTTTTGTTGCTCTTGTATATTTTAAACGTCTTCTACAAAAATTCTGCATTATCTTGTAATCTTATTCAAGAGTTATTAATATTTCACAAAGTTTGTAGGGTTTGATGAGAAGCCCTCCCCGTATTTACTGTTCCCATTGGGAGTGTGGTCCCAAAGCACCTCAAAGAGCCGAGGCTGCCTAGGGAGATCGTAGGGAAAGGACAGACCTCTTTCTGTTCTCCTCCAGCACAGTGTGGAAAGGGGGTTGGGTGAGCCTTCCAATCTTCAAATGCCTGCAAAGGAGTCTTCGTCTCATCTTCAGAGTGGGGTGTGGGGTGGAGGGCCAGAGAGGCTGTACAGACGGCTCCCTCTAAGTCATCCATCTGCCTCTCATCTTCTGCAGACAGGCTGCCCCTGGCTTCCTGGAGGTTCAGGCTCTGGATAAGCAACCGACAAGCTTCCAGGTCTGCTTCCCACACTTTCCCAAGCAACAAACATTTGCAGCTAAGACAGAGGGGAAAACAGGCATAAAAATGAGCTCAATGATGTTTCATCATACAAAGTCAATGGCTTGTCTACAAAAGTTGCACATAACAACTTAATTTCACATAGTAATGGATTATTTCAATTGAAAGATTCAGAGGAGCCAAATTTTTATGCCATCAAGTCACCATGAAATATATTAGTTCTTCTTAGCTACTTGGTTTATAAGGTCATCCAAAATCCTGTGTATTTTTTCAGACTCACCCAATTTAACACAGTCCCTGCCCGGTCAGCAGGCTGACCATGTTTCAGCCTACTGCCTTTCTTTGAGTTTTCACGCCTGCCCATCTCTTCCCGGTTAGTACATACTTTTGCATGTGCTATCTCATTTGCCTCCTATACCACCTCCCCTCCACCATCTCCCTTCAATATACATGCACCCAGGCCTCCACCTGGCTAAATCATATTATATTCAGAGCTCAGCTTTAAATAACTTTTCATTTGAGAAAACCTTCCCTGCCTCCCAAGTAGAAATTTATGTTGGGTCTGTTAGCACCCTGCACATTTCCTTCAGAGTATTGATCACAATTCTAATCATTTATGTGATTATTGGTTTTTTTTCTGAAGGTAAGGGCTTATGTCTGTGTTGTTCTCAACTCTATTGCTAGAACTTAACATGGACCATGAATTCAGATTCTTAGAATGCTCAGCATATAATGTAAACAAGAAGAGTAGGGATGATATAAACTGTAACAACTGACATTCAGCCTCAGGGGCGGAAGAAAATAGGAAGGGGTGACTCTAGCTGGTAGAGAGGACATATCCTTTATAGGGAGCACTTCATCAGCTCGTCAACTTTAAAGAATATACATTCAATACTCACAAAAATCTGACTTTTCCTGGAAAGTCAAAAACCTGGGATTTTCACTAAAAATATAGATTTTTTATCCATCCATCCCACTTCATGAAGGATATTTTCTACATATGTGTCTTTCATTTAATAATCCCTCCTTCTGCTGTATCTAATCTGTTACATTCAATCCATCTAGTTACTTTTGATTTGATGTATATTAGAAAATGCTCCAACATAATCTCTATTTTCTTGAACATCATCATTATTTTAAAGCTGGTGTCTCTACATGATTAAAATAGAAGGGGGAGGCACCTGTGGCTCAAAAGGGTAGGGCGCCAGCCCCATATGCCAGAGACGGCGGGTTCAAACCCAGCCCCGGCCAAAAACTGCCAAAAAAAAAAAAAAGAAGAAGAAGAAGAAGAAGAAGAAAAAAGAATGAGACAGAAGCGATAAGATAAGAACATTCATAAACTGGCAAGAGACATCAAACAGCACACTTAGGAAGCATTACAACTCAAAGCAGAAAAAGATCAAAGAAAAACACACCTAGGTTCATGTGATGAAACTGCTGAGCACCAAAAACAAGTAAAACTCTTAAAAGCTGCCAGAGGGAAAAAAACATATTAACTTCAAAGGAACAAAAATATGGGTGACAGAAATGGTGAAGGTCAGGATACAATAAGACATTTTTAAAATGTTGAAAGAAATTAACAGTCAATCCTGAATTATACAATCATTTTGAATTTTCTCTAGCAATAAAAGTAAAATAAAGACATTTTAAGATAAACACAGGCACAGAGAATTCATTTGCAGTGCATCCACACTCAAGTAAATGATCCCAGATAGACGCAAGGACATATGTAAAGGAATGAAGAAAATAGGAAGAGTAAATACATAAATTTGAATAAAAAAACAATAATATAATAGTTTATTTCTACTCTAAAATATATTTAAAATTAAAACTCGTAACTACCACCACAAAATAAAGAGGGAGTGAAAGGAACTAAAGTATTCTTAGACAACTGCATCACCCAGAAAGTAGTAAAAGTAATCCTTTTATTAGACTAAAAATTCAAGGATCCATACTCAACTCTGTATGGTAAAAATAAAACACAGAGGCTGAGAGAATTCTTTATTCAGCAAATAGGATGGAAATTAAAAAGAATTAATTAAGTTTTGCTTCTACAAAAGCAACAAAGAGACAGGAGTGAGCATGGTACAGATGGGAAAAATAATAAAATAGATAAATACCAAAATACATCATAAATTAAATTAAATATAAAAACAGAGGATGCCAAAAATGCTTACACATTTTAAGAAAGGAAAAACTGTACTAGAACTATAATAATCAGTACATACCAGTAATCTTCATAATCTTGAATGTAATTACAGAAGTCAAACATGATTTGAGTATTAAAATTTTAATACAGTTTTTTCCTTTTTTAAAATGTGTATATATTTTTTGGCACCCTCTGTTGGTACATACTATATTTAAAAAGCAGAGAATTTAGATTAGAATAAAAAATGAAATTGTATGTTGCTTATGAGAGACATTAATTTTTTAAAAAGAGACATACATTAAATATAAGGATTGAAACAGATTGTAAGTAAAAGGATAGGAGGGATAAAAATAGCAAAGAATTTTTAAGAGATAAAACTTAGTGGAGAAAAGATTGTGTCTTCAACATATTTTATTAAGTTAACTGGATATCATTATAGGAAAACATCAAATTATGATTACTGCTTCATGTGATAAAACTATCAACATCAGGTAAATTGAAGTTCAGAATGTGAAAAGTAAAATAATTAAAGTCAGCATACAACAATATATTTATGATTTTGTGGCAAGTAGAACATAGAAAGAATATAAAACAATATAAATACAAATATAAAATTCATATAGAATATAAATATAAAATATATAGAATATAAAATATAGGAAATGTTTATAAATATATAAATAAATGTATATAATTTACATAGGATAAAATATATACAAAATTTAAATATATAGAGAGAACAGAGCAAAATGGCAGACCAGAAGGATTGTTCAGATGAGCTGTCATAGTACAATTGAATAAAAAGAGAGAACCCAGGGATACCTGGTGCAGAGATCTTACCCAGAGTTGTGGCTCAAGGAGCACAACAAGGTGGTGGTGAGCTGGATACAGTGTGTGATCCAGAGTGGTGAAAATCTGACTCATTAGGCAAGTGACTGCCAGCCACCAGGATCAGCTGCCCCTCACACCCATGGAGGTCCAGGATGAGAGGAAGCCTTTCTGAAGTTTTTGGTATTGTGGGGAAGTTGTGCATCGAGTGGAAAGCTTGGAAGAGTGGGCAGACTCAAACGGTATACAGCAACCAGATTTGAATATTGAATGGAGTAGTTTGCCACAGGTTTTGTGGCTGGCAAGGCAGCCATAAGGGGAAGGTCTTGGCTGCCAGGGGGCTGCCATTGTGGAAAGGTCATGAGAAGGTCTTAGCAGGGGTCTAAACCACAGTCATCCTAATTCTGCTTGCCGGGATCAGAACTCTAACCTTGGAACAGGCTGAGAGACTCCTGCACTCCATGGGAAATGGTGTCAGGGAGCACTGTGAGACCTGCGTTCAAAGGATTCTGGAGAGTTTTAAGATCCCAGCCCAGCAGGATCTGAATACTGAAAGCTGAGGAAACAATTAGGCAATCACTGAGGGCAACTAAGTTAGGAATAAGGACCATAGAGGTTGTCAGCTGTATTCTCTGTCTCCTAAAGACCACATCACCACCTGGTGTCCTGGCAACATATTGCAACATGTATATTCTATTAAAGTTGGTCCCTTCTGCTATACACACACACACACACACACACACACACACGCATCATTTTTTTCAATTATTTATTTAGTTTATATTTTCTCTTCTACACTGCTGAGGCTGCTGCTATTTTTGGACATTTAAGCTTTTTTGTTTTATTTTGTTGTGTTTTGTTTTTGCTAATTTGGTTCATTGGTTGTATTCTTAACTTCCATTTCTACTTTCATCAAGAGCAAAGCTGCCTGTATTTTTGGTCATGGCAGAGGAAGAGTTTGGCTTTGCTCAGGCTGGTAAGGAGCTCCTGATTTCAAGGAACCCATACAGCCGAACCCCTCAAAATCCTTGAATTACAGGTATGGCCTTAACATCACACCAATCAATACCATTTCTTCTATCACTCTCATTCGCTCTTCCTGTGCTCATTCTCTCCTCTTCTTCAATTCTTTTCATCCCCCTTCCCTTTTTTCCTTTCTCTTTTTTCTTCTTTCTCTCTTTTCTTCTTGTTTCTCCCTGCTTGTGCTTTACCCTTCTCTTCCTTTTGGCCTTATACCAAGAGGCCACTGCAAGACCTAAGCTCTGAGACAAAGTAATTTGAAGCAAAGGAGGAAGCAAGAAGGAAAAAGAAGGACAAGGAGGTGAACATGAAGAAGGAACACATGAGGAGGAACCAATAGCAAAATTCGGGCAACACGAAAAACCAAAAAAGAGGAACTCCCCCAGGGACCATGAGGCAGCTACTACAGAAGACTCCAACTATAAAGAATTAATGGATTTGACAAAAAATGGAATTTAAAATATGAATGATGGAGACAATAAAGGGAATGGATGAGAAAATGGAAAGACAGAAACAAAAGTCAGACAAGAGATATAGAATACATAAAAGATTTGGCAGTGCTTAAGGAAATGAAGGAGATAATCAGGGAATGTAAGATGCAGTAGAAAGTATCAAAAATAGATTAGACCAAAGAACCTCAGAGCCAGAGGTCAGAGTTTTTTAATTAACCCAGGCAGTCAAAGAGGCAAAAAATAAGAAAGAGAAAGCAGAATAGTCACTTAGAGAACTACGAGACTCCATGAAGCATTCAAACATACAAAGAATAGGGACCCCTGAAGGGGAAGAAGATTGTTCCAAAGGAATGGAAGCCCCACTGGAAACTACCATAAATGAAAACTTCCCAAGTTTAACTAAAGATACTGACATACTCCTTTCAGATGGATATCAAACCCTGGGTCATTTCATCTCAAACAGAGCTTCTTTAAGTCATACTATAATGAAACTGTCCAAAGACAAGATGAAAGAAAAAATTCTGCAAGCAGCCAGGAGTAAGTGCCAACCAATCTACAGAGGCAGAGGTATTAGGATGACAGCAGACT